TTGTCTTGTACCAGCTTGATCACCAAAACAATGAAGAAAAAAAGTTTGACTTGAGGATAGGTTGGGATTTGAACTCACAACTTCATGGTCAGCAGACAGCATTCATAACCACAACGGCACAAGGCCAAAAAGGAAAGGATAAATCGTGGGTTTTGATAAAAATCGATACTGGCTTCCTGGGCAAATTGTAAACCATGGGAAAAGGCCGGAAACCTGGCCGAAATTCTAACTCCTTAACGGCTGATCCAATTGTTCCGAAACCTTCACAGAACAATTTGCCGTGTCCTAACAAGCCATTCTATGTACTTTGCTGTCCAAATTTCCCTTATCTTCATACTTTTTAAGACCCAAACCTGATTGTAAATCTTTTTGAAACAGACTTTAGCAGTAGCAATTCAGTGTTCTCACATTTTGCTGCTTGTAATAAAAACTTTGTATCGAGTAGTACTACTGTAACCTAGCAGCATCATAGTGTATTGATATAAATGTATGTTACACAAGAGAGAGATCGGAAGCTGTGTTGCAATTCCGTATTCACGTATTCATCAGGCAACATACATTGCCTTTGAGTCATTTCATAAAAATAAAATAAATTCACGGTTCGCGTGACTCGGCTGGAAACCGAGTTTTCCGCATTCGTAGGAACGCCACCACCCTTCAAGGATCAAGGCGCAGATGCAGCTCCTAAAGCGGTGGGAGGTGAGTAGCTCAGCTCACCAGCAAGTGGTCAAAGACCAAAAATCCCATTCACTGCATCCATGTTCTCCTCGTGCTAGCCCACGAGGAAGGATTTTTTCCAGCGGAAGGAAGGATTTCATAATAATAATAATAATAATAATAATAATAATGTGATATGGAGAAAATGATGAACAAAAAATCGTACTTCGAACTAGTTTTCGCACAACACTCCTCAGGAAGCTACGTTGTACTAATGAAAAACAATCCAGAAAGATACTATTAAATAAAGAGAAATGGAGTGAGAAGAAACAACACCTATGAAAATGATAATCCTAGCACTAAGGTAATAACAGGAAAAACTGCGAAAGCACTTAAAACGAACTTGTAAAGACTACTAGTATACTGTGACACCATGGCCAACCAGGGCCAAACAGACAGAACAAGCTGCTACTAGAACAATTTCAAACGAATAATGCTGTCCTTCTGGACACACAGATTAGGCTTATGAATACGTTGACAAACAGCTTCTAACACACTCAACTGCAACTTATAACCATGACGAGCACGGCACAAAACAGAAAAAGAAGAATCAGAATACACCTTGCAGCAATCAGGACGAGATACAAGATGCTTACACACTGATGACTTCCTACTAGAAAACACACGCTCGCACCCACTCTTACTCACACAATCATTCTCGCTCTCACACTCACCGGACTCACTGGACTCACTGGCCGAATCCTCCTCAACGACGTCCTGCCTTGGAGCAATCAGGTCCCGTCTCCTCCCATCCCTTGTCTCACGCTCCTGTTGTGCATTCCGTTGGCTCTGTACTTCCGTACTGAAATAGGGACCTGATTGCTCCAAGGCAGGACGTCGTTGAGGAGGATTCGGCCAGTGAGTCCGGTGAGTGTGAGAGCGAGAATGATTGTGTGAGTAAGAGTGGGTGCGAGCGTGTGTTTTCTAGTAGGAAGTCATCAGTGTATAAGCATCTTGTATCTCGTCCTGATTGCTGCAAGGTGTATTCTGATTCTTCTTTTTCTGTTTTGTGCCGTGCTCGTCATGGTTATAAGTTGCAGTTGAGTGTGTTAGAAGCTGTTTGTCAACGTACTTGTATTCATAAGCCTAATCTGTGTGTCCAGAAGGACAGCATTATTCGTTTGAAATTGTTCTAGTAGCAGCTTGTTCTGTCTGTTTGGCCCTGGTTGGCCATGGTGTCACAGTATACTAGTAGTCTTTACAAGTTCGTTTTAAGTGCTTTCGCAGTTTTTCCTGTTATTACCTTAGTGCTAGGATTATCATTTTCATAGGTGTTGTTTCTTCTCACTCCATTTCTCTTTATTAGTATCTTTCTGGATTGTTTTTCATTAGTACAACGTAGCTTCCTGAGGAGTGTTGTGCGAAAACTAGTTCGAAGTACGATTTTTTGTTCATCATTTTCTCAATAATAATAATGCAATGAATATAACTAAATGCGCACTCATATCACAACCATGGGAATAATACTTGAGTAATTAGGCGACGTGGAGACAATAATCTTAATAATGCAATGAATATTCCAGAACGTTTTCTTGTCACAATTATCAATGGAATTCGTGAGTAATAATAATAATAATAGTTCGATGGACTTCTCGTGTTCTCTGGATGGCAGTCGTGAGTCAGTCAAGTGTCAAGTCGTCGGCGGAATAGCGCGAGCTCCAGTGTGGGAGCAAACCCATTCCTAAACAAAATCATCGCCGAAGTCGCAACCTCTATTTCGTAGTAAATAATAATAAGAAGAAGAATAAACGGCGAGGAGACAATTTGATAACCGCAATCAGTAATACAAGCTGGATCGACATTTGTGTACACTGTATTCATGCATTGTAAAACTGTGGAGACACTGTGCAATAAAACGATGAAAATGTGAAGAGATTGTGTAGAGAAAAAAAGGGGATTCAAACAAGTTTTCGTACAACACTCATCAGGAATCTTCGTTGTACTAAAGGACTGAAAACAAAATTGAACTATTATAGAAAATCTAAGTTAGAGTTTTTTATTGTTAAAATTCACACTTGTAAATTTCACTGCTGTTGTTCTTGGTGTTATTTCTCTAACTTAGATTTTCTATAATATTTCAATTTTGTTTTCAGTGTCCTTTAGTACAACGAAGATTCCTGATGAGTGTTGTACGAAAACTTGTTTGAATCCCCTTTTTTTTCTCTACACAATTTCTTCACATTTTCATCGTTTTATTGCACATTGTCTCCACAGTTTTACAATACATGTGTTCAGGAGGACACTGCTAGTTTCTGTTGTGCATTGTCATCCAGTATGTATTCTAATAATAGCACAGCCACAGTATTCCAGGTAGCTTCTAAATGAAGGTGTTTGGACACGGACGGAGAGTTGGTTAGTAGTTTCCTGCCATATTGAATGCTTCTGCAATATTGGCCGTTTTTTACCTTTGTGCATGGACGTGCCTCAGACGGCGACCACCCGGTGATTGTCTGAGCGGTTATCTGCGGTTATTCTTTGTTAACCGTGCAGCGGAATTGTTCACTGTATTGTTTATTCTAATTGTTTCCTTTCGTCTGTGTTTGGCTCCTGATGTGCTGGCTGTGTGCTTTCAACCTACCATAAGAATCGCTGCGCTCCCATTATTCCATCAGATGAAGATGATGATGAGAGAGAGTTGATGATGCGATGAAGTTTTCTTGCAGTTGTTGCTAGAGGGTTAGGGTTAGGGTTAGGGTTAGGGTTAGGGTTAGGGTTAGTGTTACGTTTATTTCTTGTACTTGTGTGAAAAGATCGAAGAACAACACCTATCGAAAGGCGTGTGTTGTATGAGTGTCTAAAGGGACATTAGTAGCAGTTCGAAACTGAATAGAAGAGGCGTTCTCCATCACTCCGAGGCCTTATTGTTGTGGATTGCCGATAGCGGATTCGGCGGATCTCGTGATCCTCCATAACATGGTCGCATGGTAGCAGAGGATGGTTTTCCAGTAGTGTCAAAGTGAGTAGACAGTTGTAGTGAGTTTCGATATCGAAGATGGAGGACGTTGACACAAGAGTCGAGAGTAGCGCGGAAGACGCGGTAGAAGAGTCGCAACAGCGCGGCCGTACGCCTCAGCAATCGGATTCTGTGGCGAGAGATGAGAGCATCGTAGTGTTGCGCAAACGAAAGGCGCAAGCAAAGGGACACTTCACCAATGCAAGGAGGGCGCTGTTAGTAGGCGCACACAATGGGCAGATTGAGGACGTAGAAGCGGAACAGTCACGTCTACAAGGCTGCATGGAGGAGGTCGCGGCAGTCATCGACGAATTATTGAACATCACCAGCGATGTCAAGGAGAAGTTACTGCTGATAGCAGAACTGGAAACGCTACAAGCCGAGTACAGTGCCGCAGTTGAGGATCTGCCTGTGCCTTCGTACGGGACCGGAGGCGATCAGGAAGTCACTCAGGCGCAACGAGGAAGTGATGCAGTATCCAGCCAGCGAGGATTTACTGAGAGTGGTAGATCTACTCGTAGTCGTAGAGGTCACACACGGACCTGGCCCTGGGACTCGGCCAGTGCAACTAGTCCTAGATACGCGCCGGAATCTAGCACTGGCGGAGGACTCGAGATGAGCGCTCTAGGTGATTGGCAGCAGAGCGCTGAACCTGAGGAGGCCAGCTTTCTCAGCGGTATCGGAGGCTTCGGAGCCTTTGGCGGAGTGCGAGGAAGACAGATGCCCGTGGCCTCGTGGCCTGGGTACAGATATCGGGAGAGACCACTAGCTGCGCTGCAGGAAGAAGATCCATGGATGCGTCAGTCATTCGCAGCGCACTCGGACTCCCCCGACTCGGAGACTCGAGACACGCGCGCCGAGTCACTTGGCCAACACCAGGGTTTCGCCAGCTACAGCCAAGGAGCAACGGACATCGCGAACCAAACATCACTGCTGGCTTCGAAGGCTAGCGGAGCAGCTGCATCAGCAGCGTCAGTGCCCTCAACGGTGAGTGCTGCAAACATAGTCATTAGTTCGACAACCACGGTACTCGCTTCCGGAAGATCGCCATCGATCACAGCCACTAGCGCCATCAGTGCTAGAGCGCCTACACTGACCACAGCCAGCGCGCCAGCGTCAGCTCCGAACCTTCCAAGTAGTAGTAGTAGTCGAACGAGCGTAGATCTACCCGCGGCTGCGTCTTGGACAAGCCACAGCCTACGTGCACCGGTGTCAGCAGTCAGTGCCAGTACTACTAGTCAACCCTATGCAGGTAGCGCTCCAGTCCTACAGGCTACAGCCTGCAGCGTCTAGTTCGCAGTTTGGAGGCCATCAGCACTTTCAGGCTGCCATGCCCAGGGCAAGACCACCGCCACCAGCGTTTGCTCCACCGCCTGGACATGAGCCATGGACGCAGATGAAGAGAGTATCCATAGAAACTTTCACAGGCGACAAGAGGAAGTATGAAGAGTGGAAGGCGTCCTTCATTGCCTGTGTCGATTCGTCACCGGCTACTCCAGAGTACAAGTTCCTCCAGATGAAGCAGTTTCTGGGCGGGGACGCGTTGCAAGTCGTCGCCAATCTAGGCTACACGCAGAGAGGCTATGATACAGCCAAGGCACGGCTAGAGAAGAAGTTTGGCGGCAAGCGCCGTCAAGTCGCAATGTATGTGGAGGAGCTGGCTCGGTTTACCGGCATCTCCGGAGACGACCCCAGGGAGCTTGAACGCTTCGCGGATTTACTTGAAGTCGCTACAGTGAATCTGCAAGATGCTGGTCATTTCGCTGAGCTTCAGGCCGGAACATTCTACATGAACCTGCTTCGGAAGCTGTCTGAGAAGCTCGTCGCCCAATATCAGCGGTGGCTATTTGAGCAACGGAAGCAAGAGTCGGTTCTCGCTCTGTTAGAGTGGGCTACCCAAGAGGCGGAGTTCCTCGTTACGGCAACGGAGACAGTACGAGGGATGACGCGGTCCCGGCAACCCAGATGGAGCAAGCCGACCACGAATGCCAGCGGCAACAGTGAAAAGGCCCGGACCTATGCCAGTTTCAGCACCAGCTCAACCCCGCAGAAACCGCAGAAGTCGCCGAAGTGCCCCACTTGCGAAGGAGAGCACGGTATCTGGCGGTGCAAGGCATTCCTGGAGATGGACAACGTACAGAGATGGACTGAGGCCCGGCGAGCAAATCTCTGCTATCGCTGCTTGGCATTTGGACACCGAGGTGGTGAATGCAAGCGTGGTTGGACATGTGGAGTAAACGGCTGCCAGGATAATCATCATCGTCTCCTCCACGCTACGAAGGGTGGTGCGCAGAAAGGCACGCCGTCTAGTGGCCAAGCCAAGGATACACCCAGTGATGCCGAGAGTAAGAACCGGACAGGCGAATTAGGTGGTTCTTGTCACGCAGTGCAGGCTGTTACCGAGGGGGAGCTAACAGCTGGAGCGACAATGGCAGCTCACTCGTATAGCAAGGTGGCACTACGGATTGTGCCAGTGATGTTACGCAACGGCCCACAGGCAGTCACGGTGAATGCCTTACTGGACGATGCTAGTACAACCAGCTACATCAACACAGCCGTGGCTGGCCAGCTCGGCATCAGTGGAACTTTGCGACGGTCGACAGTCAGTACATTGAATGGGAAGGTGGAGACCTTCATGACAGCACCGGTCAGCTTTACCATCGCTAGTATGGATAACTCGTATCAGCAATCGGTGACAGCGTTCACCACAACGAACGTAACCGGAGACCTACAACCTGTGGACTGGTCGCAAGAGGCTGAGAAGTATGGTCACCTCCGGGATATTCCCTTCCCGGCACTGCGCAAGCCCAACGTCATCGAACTGTTGATTGGAAGCGACAATGCAGAGCTAATGATGTCCCGTCGAGACATTAGTGGCGCTCCCGGACAACCAATAGCACGTCAAACACCGCTGGGATGGACATGCGTCGGCAAAGTACATGCAGCGGACACAGACTCGCACCAAGAGGCCTTCCACGGCCAGTCTTTCCTGTGTTACGGCGGCCCATCTGTGACATCACTTGAGGCAACGCTACAGCGCTTCTGGGAGGTAGAGCGCTACGGCATGAGTGATGGACTCCAGGAGCCTGGCATACGATCAGCCGAGGATGAGAGCGCGCTCAAGACAGTGCAGCGGGCTATCCAGATGGTGGATGGACGATACCAGGTTTGCATACCATGGAACAGCAGGAAAGTTGAGCTCACGAATAACATTGTGATGGCCAGGAAACGGCTGACAAGCACAGAGCGCCGCCTGCAAAAAGATAGCACAGTTGCAGCGGCCTACCGAGATGTGCTGAAGAGCTACGAGGACAAAGGCTACATCCGGGAGCTTGGTGCAGCAGAAACGGAACAAGATCAGTGCTGGTATCTGCCACACTTCGCAATCGTAAGGCCACAGAAGACCACAACAAAAGTTCGCATAGTATTCGACCCCGCAGCTAACTACCGTGGACTGAGTCTGAATGATGCAATCAACCCGGGGCCAAGGCTGCAACGAGACCTCTGTGACGTCCTGACAAGGTTTAGAAGAAAACCAGTTGCGATCGGATGCGACATCTCTGAGATGTACCTACAAGTGGCATTAGCACCGGAAGACAAGCCGTATCATCGCTTTCTGTGGCGGGACAGGCCAGACGCTGATGTGCAGCACTACGAGTTCAATCGCCTCGTCTTCGGGATCAATGCATCGCCATTCCTAGCTCAATATGTGGCGCAGCAAACAGCGCGAGAGCATGCAGTTACGCACCCTCTGGCAGCGGATGCAATCCTGGCATCGACGTACATGAACGACACCATGGATTGAAGTTTACCCGGGTCCAGACGGGCATGTGCGAGTTGTGAAGCTGCAGGCCGGTAATCAGCAATACAAACGGCCTATCTCCCGTGTGTGCCCACTGGAATGCTGAAGTCATCTAGTGAGGTACCGCTACAGTCAGTAGCCGATATACTGAATGTATCATACCGAGAGGATCACTGTGCAAGCTGTGTGCCTTGCTGAAAACGTGAAATAGCTATTCATATTCTTCCGTTGCAGCATGCGGTGCTGCTGCCCATTATTCTCTGTGCACATTTGTTACGCTGTATATGCATTTTTGGCATAGCAAATCAGTAGTTGCCACATGCTACTCTGGGAGCATATGGCGAGGGGGAGGATGTTCAGGAGGACACTGCTAATTTCTGTTGTGCATTGTCATCCAGTATGTATTCTAATAATAGCACAGCCACAGCATTCCAGGTAGCTTCTAAATGAAGGTGTTTGGACACGGACGGAGAGTTGGTTAGTAGTTTCCTGCCATATTGAATGCTTCTGCAATATTGGCCGTTTTTTACCTTTGTGCATTGACGTGCCTCAGACGGCGACCACCCGGTGATTGTCTGAGCGGTTATCTGCGGTTATTCTTTGTTAACCGTGCAGCGGAATTGTTCACTGTATTGTTTATTCCAATTGTTTCCTTTCGTCTGTGTTTGGCTCCTGATGTGCTGGCTGTGTGCTTTCAACCTACCATAAGAATCGCTGCGCTCCCATTATTCCATCAGATGAAGATGATGATGAGAGAGAGTTGATGATGCGATGAAGTTTTCTTGCAGTTGTTGCTAGAGTCGGTGTTACGTTTATTTCTTGTACTTGTGTGAAAAGATCGAAGAACAACACCTATCGAAAGGCGTGTGTTGTATGAGTGTCTAAAGGGACATTAGTAGCAGTTCGAAACTGAATAGAAGAGGCGTTCTCCATCACTCCGAGGCCTTATTGTTGTGGATTGCCGATAGCGGATTCGGCGGATCTCGTGATCCTCCATAACAACATGAATACAGTGTACACAAATGTCGATCCAGCTTGTATTGCTGATTGCGGTTAATAATAAGAATAATAATACAGTGGTCCCTCTATAATCCGGCACCATTTGTGCCACGAAAATCTGCTGGATTAGGGAGGGTGCTGGATTAACAAATCTGATTTACTGCTGCAATGTGCATGAAGAGGACATTTTGGCTACTGAAAATTGTGCTGGTTTATCGAGGGTGCTGGATTATAAAGTGCCGGATTAGAGAGGGACGACTGTACTACTTCTTTTGCTCTCCCACCCATGGAAATATTTCCCGGTGGGTCTGGCTTTAATATTGCCTTCGAAAGACATAATGCAAGGAAAAAATTGGAGGCGTATCCAATTTCGAAAGAAAGGTGTCAGCGCCGACGCAATCCACACAGTCAAGTAAGCCAATTCATTAACCGAACGTTTTCGTTCCCTTCTCATCGTGGGTAAATACAGGGAATAGTGGAAAAATGTCAAATACAGCAACTATTTACTGATAGAGCTACAGGCTTTTGTAGGTTCACTGGCTAGCTACAGCAACACTACATGTATGATGTAGCTGTGGCTGTACTGATTAGTGACTCCTCATCATGCACGAGCTCAGTCGTTCACTCCTAGATCATAGATGGTATATACAGAAGCCTTGCTTGGTAGTTAACATGTTTTTCGATTTTGACAGCATGTTACAAGGCGAGGACGCGTAGTGCTCCTGACTACAACCATAAACCGGTTGGCAGAGTCCCGGTCTTGCGACCATTTGAACCGTATTGGGAAAACCCAGGTTCGGACCCTCGTTACTCTACGGGTTGGTAGGATTTTTATAATTTTCGTTTTTTTGTGTTGTAGAAGTCGTCGTGTTGCCGCCGTAGTATTGTTCACGTTGCTGCCGCTGCAGGGATCACGTCTGGAAGGATTTGTGATGTTATTTTCTTGTCTTCCTCTGTAATTAAATTATTTGTGATTTATTTCTTTTTTCTTTTGTTCTTTTGTTCTTTTTCTTTTTTCTTGTCTTTTTTCAACTTCTGCCCATGGCGTCCTTCTCTCAGCTCGTCAGCTGTAACAGTCATAGTCATCACCATGACGACTGTTGTGAGAAGGTGCTCGCTGCCGACGAGGTTGGTGATGTCCCGACGAGGCCATGGGTAGGCCTTCACCACGTCGGAACACCCCGTCTGCACGTTGGTGTTGTGGTCTGGGTGTTGATGGACGTTGATGTTGTTGTAATAGTTGTTGTCGTTGTAATTGTCGTTGATTGTTGTTGTTGTTGTTGTTGTTGTTGTTGTTCTCCTTAGTGTTGTTCTCGTTGTTGCTGTTGGTCTTGGTAATACTAATAGTCTTGTTCACGGACCTCATGAATTCCACAAATAAAACAGAGTTATATTTCTTGAATCAGCTTCAGGGTTACTTTTCTTTCAATTATGAATGATTTGTGGAATGTTGCAATTGGTAACATGGAAACATAAGTTCAGTGCAGCTTCCAGTATGTTGTTCAGGTGAGGTACACCGGTTTTTGGGGATCAAATGTCGGAAGTCAGCATTGCTTACCTCGGCTGTTGCGCTGGACCGTCTTGGGTTCACTCGTAGTTAATTAATTGTGCGTCCCCCCAGGGGGTTTGGGCTCTCCGGTATTAATCCTTTGTTGAACGAGAAATTGTTTACTAATTAATTATTGATGAAGGGGTTAGTGTTGTATCACGTTCTTCGTGGCGTGGGCTGAGTCTTCTGTCAGGTGGACGGAGCTATAAAACACACAGACAGGACGGCGGTTATTGGTGTATCGAAGGAGAAGAGAAGTCTCACTGGCGGGTCTCTGAGAGAGACACACGTGTTGACTTTGGACTTACCGGGAGATCTCTCCAGGTTGTCCGAGGAGCTGGTAAGATGGTCGTCGACGTCGAAGGTGAACGTAGGCTGAGGAAGATATGTGGAGTGACCGGTTTATGGTTGTAGTCAGGAGCACTACGCGTCCTCGCCTTGTAACATGCTGTCAAAATCATAGATGGTCTACGTCGCCTTGTATTGGAAAGGCTTTCTGTCTAAAGCCTTTCCATACTGGTGCTCGATGTTTTCAGTTTGGGGACACCAAAATTAGTGTACCGCTAAAGACACGTGGTCGACACTTTGTTGACACGTTGCTGACACTTTGTTGACACGTGACCCAATTACCGGCCTACCAAGTGCCTTTGGTGACCGCTAACAGCAACTGTGGAACAGTGCAGCGCCCTTTTTTGGAGCAACGTACGAGTAGTGCCCATGGATTATGACCCCGCGACCCCAATCTACGTGGCGGTCCGCAATTCGCTACTTCATACTGACTGGCGTCCGGCATCGTCCCGAATTTGGCCACAATCTGCTCTCGGGACCCCTATAGGGCTCCCTGACCTGCTCCATCTCCGCCATGCATCGTCAATGTACTGCGCATCCACCCAGGCCAGGACTGCACTTACTTACGGGAAGGAGTATTTGCAAGATGGAACCTGGGAACTGGAAGACGACGAAGAGGAAGCGTGGGAATCCGGCGGCAATGGCTGGGATGTAAGTCCAACATTGCTGGTGCCAGAGTTGCCACTGCTTGCTTATAAGGGAATCATGTGTGTTGCCTTTTTGCCTTTTCCGACGTCCTCCTCCGACTGTACTCCCGATCCCAGGACTGAACTTACGGGAAGGAGTGCTTCCAAGATGGGAGACGAAGAAGAAGAAGAAGCCGCTGAATCCGGCGGCAATGGCTGGGATGTAAGTCCAACATTGCTGGTGCTAGAGTTGCCACTGCTTGTTTATAAGGGATTCATGTGTGTTGCCCTTTTTTGCCTTCTCCCATGTTCTCCTCCGACTGTACTGGTGAACGCTGTCACATATGTTGCCCTTTCCAGACAGTAGAAGGGAGGGGGGGGGGCAGCACATCCTGGCATCCAGGAATGCTAGGCCCTAGGAACTAGGCAATCTGACCTTTCCTCTTACTCCAATAATGGTATGGATGGGGAGTTCTTGAACATCCTCAGTCTTGTTAGAGTGAACTGTGCAACTCGGCAATCGGTGATAGCAGAGGACCAATGCCGATGGCGATGCTCCTTCGAGTGGAACTTCGTGGGTGTGCAGCCTTGCTAGTTGAATTGTAAATCAACCATTCTTCCTGTCTCTGACTTCTTCAATGTCCTCCTCAGTGTCGGACTGTCCGCGTCGCATTGAACTGGTCCGATGAGGCTGCTATTGCACACACAGTGAGGGAACTCCCATACGGGAACTCGGAAGTACTGCTACAGTACAGGTAAGGTGGCCATAGCTTATGTGCGTGCGCCGTTGTTGTCAACTTCTAAGCCAGCTGTACTCCAACCTTTATGGAGTTTGAAAGTAGTCAGCTGGCGAACTACAATTGAAGTTTAGACGTTATATGCCGCGGCTTGGTCAGCTTTTTCAGTTTCACAATGCATTGCACTCAGCACCGCTTCTCGGAATATCTTGTCAGGATAGCTGTGGAACGCATCTTCCCCAGTGGGGGAACGGCAAATGTTCTGTTCATTTTTTAGGCTTGCTTTTATGGTACGTACAAATCCCCATTGAAAATACTGCTACAGTGCAGGTAAGGTGGCCATAGCTTATGTGCGTGCGCCGTTGTTGTCAACTTCTAAGCCAGCTGTACTCCAACCTTTATGGAGTTTGAAAGTAGTCAGCTGGCGAACTACAATTGAAGTTTAGACGTTATATGCCGCGGCTTGGTCAGCTTTTTCAGTTTCACAATGCATTGCACTCAGCACCGCTTCTCGGAATATCTTGTCAGGATAGCTGTGGAACGCATCTTCCCCAGTGGGGGAACGGCAAATGTGCTGTTCATTTTTTAGGCTTGCTTTTATGGTACGTACAAATCCCCATTGAAAAGACACAGTGGAGACCAGAAACTGCAAATAGATGTTGGGAACCGCGAAGACCACCCTTCCTTGTCAAGTTCCCTGAAGGTGTGGAGGGGGGGGGGAGCGGAGGAGGGACATTCCTGCACTTCTTAAAGCAGGATTCACAGGAGCATTTTCAGAAATTGCTTGTACATTTGTACCAGTTGTAACCGACAAACGCATTCTCATTGAGCTTTGACTTGAGGCACGTCAGCAAGGCGCTGTTGCATCGCTGACGTCTTGTCCTGATTCTGTGAATGGTATTTTGTGCGAGTTTGCATCGCACGCAGAATCGCAGGTCGTGTCGCATTGCGCAGCACACTGCCAAATTGCTTCTGTGAATCCCACGTGAATGGGAATTCCAATGGGAATGTAATCCATTGCCAACAGGTGTATTCCCGAGCTGCTCATCATACTGCAAAATTGCTCCTGTGCATGCAAATGGATTTCATTGCTCTTCTGTAGTTTGGGAAATTCTCGATTATGATAATTCTGCGTGTGTGTGTACACCAGCCCTGAACATACATGTAGGTGACCCATTTGTGGTGTCTCATAGCCTACCTCACGACCTTATGCTTTCTTTCTGTATCACTTGTATCTTGCAGGTATATCACCCCGTGACGACCACATCGAAGTCTGAAATTGAAGTGTGAAGATGCTTCAGCAACCCCTTCATATTTTTCCATTGCTTTTATTGTGCTTCTACTGTGCATGTGTGTAACCTGTGGGGTATGCATGTGATGACAATGTATGCCGGTGACACGGTCAGATTTTGTCCATGCGTGTAACGTACACCTGCATGCTATCGTTGAAAAGGATCTGCCACTTACGATCTTCGGACGAGTATCAGGTCAGCTTGGTTTTGTGTGGGCTGTACCAGACGCTGTTCACTTCTCTATCTGTTGGATATGTGACTTTCTGCAAGTTTCTGGTGTATGGTGGCCACTTCTTTGCTTGTCTTTGTATGACATTACAATAATTCTGTATTCACTGCTTCCATGGTGTGGTCTGCAAACTGCAATCCTTAGGCAAATATCATCACGGTTTGCAATATTGTGCTTTGGCCGCTAGCTTACCTACACATTGTACATGTAGTTGAATTATTTTTGTTTCACAACTGACTTCCTGAAGTATGGTGGCCACTGCTTTGCATGGCATTATACAATGTTCATCAAGAATTTCCTGTTTGGGTCGTGTGTGTGTATGTATGTGTGTGCGTGCCCATGTGTGTGTGTGTGCCATGTGCATGTGCGTGTTTGTCACAAGGTGTCTGTGTGCGGGGTAGCGAGGTGGGGAGGGCTGGAATGTATCAGTGTGCTACTGTAGTTGCATGGCTACATACAGTGCATCGCGCGCGTGCTCACCATGTTTATCTTCGGAGCTGGGCTAGGGTGGGGGAGGGAACAGAAAAAGAACTGAAATTACCCATATAAAAACCGCTCTGTGAGCGGTTCTGAAAAACCTCTACTGGTGCAGCCCCGTCGTAAAAGTAAGAAATTAGAACTGGCGCATTGTCCTCCCAAATGTGAACTGATCCACCTAAATCGCGATTGACGGGACCCGAACGCACCAGTAGCACGAGGTCGGGAGGGCACAGGATCACAGCCGGCGTCGGCGCTGATCAAGTTACCATACAACACTGACTTAGATCTACACCGAAGCCCACCTTTGCCGCTTTGGCTTTGGCTATGGACCAGCGTCCCCAGCTGCATCCACAGGTAGGAACCTCGTGCTACTGGTGCGTTCGGGTCCCGTCAATCGCGATTTAGGTGGATCAGTTCACATTTGGGAGGACAATGCGCCAGTTCTAATTTCTTACTTTTACGACGGGGCTGCACCAGTAGAGGTTTTTCAGAACCGCTCACAGAGCGGTTTTTATATGGGTAATTAATTTTGTAATGCTGTCAACTCAAAATCGAAAACATCGTACTTTCAGAGTTTGGAATCGCCCGACACAAAAAAAGACGTAACGGTTGCATGCTGCGCCATTTTTTCTTGTCGCGCGTGCGCGCGCCTCATAGATTTTTGCATGACGTAAGACATGCGCAAACATGCTGCGCAGTGCGTTCGCTGATATCCCTACTACAGCAAAAGCAAAGATTGAGAACCTCACGCTTTACGTGTGGAAAAAAATAACAAAATTCAGCTAAACAAGTCAACAACAGGGTGAAGGTGAAGAAACGACTAAAACATAATGAACAGCAATGAGAAGAAGCATTCTTGACACTTTCACTAGGACTAGCGCCAAACAACTGAAGTGACAAAACATTTTCCTTCTGAACACATAGTTCAGGGGACAACTTGCGAATATATAACGCTTCCAAAACAGACAACGGTAATACAGATCTGCCACGGGCCAAAACTGAGAAAACATCATCTCTGTACAACTCACGACAACTATCACTAACCGACAGATGACTCTTGATACTGTAAATCAACTAATTTTCGCTGGCGATTTAATTTCGCTGATTTCGCTGCTGGGTACCAACCGGCCAAAGTAAATCGCAGGCCAAAATTTGTCATAGAGGCGAATGATGCGTAGTATTGAGCCATGGCTGCCCGTGAGAGCAACAAATACCAATCGATCTTTTTGAAAACCCCAATCAGCCAAAGTTAAATGGCGGCCAAAAGTTTCATTTCGAGATCGGCCAAAATTTCTCACCGGCCAAACTTTGTTGATTTACAGTAGCCGATTGCTGATTGTTGGAATTTCTCGTCTGTTTCGTCACCTCCAATGTCACAGCTCTTGACTCGTCCTTTCCACTGGGCAGTGAAATCCGATGCATCGGATTTGATGGCAAGGCGACTGCCCAGTGGAAAGGACGAGTCAAGATTTGATGCAGTTCCCGGTACAGGGCCGGAGGAAGGAGTTGGGGAGTGGTCCAGCCAACCTTTGAGGGGGGTCGGGGGGACCTCGGCCGGGAGAAAATTTACGTGAAATAGAGCAAATTTGGGCATCTTTAAAGGCTCCAGAAAATGCAGAAAATTATAGTAAAAGAACACAAACACAACTTTTTATCCATATCAGCCATACAGTGCCGGTCATGTAGTCCTGAGCTACTTCGAAGCACATCACACGTCGGCAGTACAGTCGAGTCATGTACCTCTGGATTTTTTTTACACCGGTTTTGCACGAATCACATGGACCATCCAGCTGGGAAAGTGGTCCGGCCATGGCCGGACCAGCCTGACCGGTTCCGCCGGCCCTGCGGTATGTTTCAGCGCTTCTCCTTAAAGCGGAGCATCACGGACACTTCAATGGTCTCCTCCAGAGACCAAACGAGCAGGAGTGCCCAATAACAGGGTAGCGAATGGTTGAGTTGTGCTATGTGACAATGTAGTGTGTGCATGGGTTGGGGGCTACGGAGGCCTAATACACTCTCTATTACATATCCGTTTAACGTACATACAATTATGTAACATACCGCATGGCTATATTGAAACATATACTCCATCAGCTGGCTACCATATTGAGAGTGAAATGAATGTACAATGTAGGCCCGTTAAGGTGGACAGATCGCACTGGACTATCACAATGATGTTGCCTGTAACCTACATGTACACTAGCAGTACTGTAACAGTAGTTATTTACCTACAGTACATGTTCATGTGATTCTACACTAGCAGTAGCAATGTACTGTCACCCAGCCGCATCATCATGAGTGTATTGATATACATGACTGTATGTTATTCAGACCTGCTTGGCCGACTGGAATAGAGATAAATATGCACTGGCACAAGACAGGCCATGAAGTGTGTAACTATAGACACACACACACACACAGTCAGTACATGTGTCGTCTCGGAAGGGAGAACAAACTGCCTCTTCTACGTTACCCTCGCCACGCCACATATCAAACGGACTAGTCAAGTGGTTTTTCTCTAGAGCTAGAGAGAGAGAGCTTTTCTTAGGCTTTACTTCAAGCGGCGACGGAAGAACTCATAATGAAGAACTAACACTGACAGCGAACGACTCACAACTGTCAACGAACGACTGACGACTGACAACGAACGACTGTAAACGAACGACTGACTCTGACAACGAACGACTGACTCTGACCACGAACAACTGACAGCTGTCAATGAACGACTGACATGGCAAAAGGAAAACATATCAGAAATTGGTGCCCTCGTCAGCACAAAAAGGTGCACGTATCAGCAACAAAGCAGCGCAGCAGCATGTACGGGTCAGCAGCACAGAGACACAAATACAGCAGCAGATACGACAAAGAGACAGCACGTGCAGCCACATGTACAACACATGTATCTGATTATGACCATACGGAAAGAGTAATGTCTAATTCCACAGACTTGTGTCAACGCACAAAGCTGATCCGTGCCATGCTGCACACCTCCGCACCAAAGCACAGTTTCTCTCTGGGTACAGCGATGGTCTCACTCTGGCCAGATCTCTGGTGTGTTCCTGTCAGTGTGTGCTGATCACAATCCAACCGCAGTGCTATGATGTCACCATCTTGCCATGGCTGACCAAGCTTTGCGTTGTTGCCTACACTGTAATCTTCATTGTCGATGTAGTTACACCAACCCAAGAATGGCCTCTCTGGTGTACATTCCTCAAGCGGTTCACAACTTTCTTCCACCACACCAAGAAAGAACTCATCGTCTTCGTGACTAACCTGGACTGAGCACTCCACCACGCCATGGCAATAACTACCTAGTGTGGAGATTGTAAGCCAATTCTCTTCACCACTATGCGATGCTTCATGGCCATCACTGGATAGAGAGAACTGTGCAGGTTCGCAGCTAAATCGATCGAACACTGGCTGCACGTGTACAGCGTTCTTCTTCACTGGCTCTGTGCAGGACGCAGAGTCGACAAGACGTCCCAGCTGTGATGTACGCATCTTCTCCTCACCATCATCCGTTGCAAATGCACGGTAGGATACAGTGAAATCAACATCCACTAGATGATCATCACTGGTATCAGCTTCCTCGTTGCTATTGACAATATCCTTGATCTGTGTCTGCAGGATCTTCTCTGCAGTCAAGAGATAACTGTCGCCAAGGTTGTGCACGAAATGCTCACAGCAATCCAGTTGAAATGTTTTCTTTTCCACAATGCCGGATTGCTTCTCCAGGTCTTTCAATGCTTTCCAGCGCCGAGCGTCCAGCTCATTCAGAAGATCTTCTTGTCTGCGCTGCAGGTTTTTCATGTGCGTGTTGAAATCATCTACAATCTCCTCTGACAATGCCTCCACCTTCTCATTGATGTCTGCAGTGTGTGCTGCAATGTTGACATTCATGCCACCGAGGTGCTCCCTCCACGAGTCGCTACAATCACTTAAGAGAGTCTTCCACTGAGATCGTTTTCTCTCAGCTGCTGTGGAAATATCTTCAACACTCAGTGAACAGCTAGCATGAAACTGCTCCCAGCACCTCTGACATATCAACTGTTCACATTGCTTGCAGTAGGATTTCACAGGAAAACGTGGGTGCAGGCTACAATGGAGAAATTCTGAATCAACGACTGTGTCGTCCTGGTCGGCTGCCGTTTTCATTGTGTGCATTGACTGGAGTTGGTGATCACGGCAGCTTTTCTTCATCAAATGTAGTTTCTCATGTCCCTCGCACATGTATAATCCACAGTCGACACATAGCGAGGTAGCTGGGGAAGATTCTCCCTCGCATTCTAGGCTTTGGCATACGTGCTGTTTCTCTGAATGATCTGATTGCAGCTCGCTACCTTCCTTGCCTCTCGTCTCTACCTTTTGAACTGGCCAGTCGGCTAGGGATTCCTCCAGTCTTACTCCTGGCATACCTGATGCTGCCACAGTCAGGCATTTGAAGCACGACAC